GACTAGAGTTTGAAGATGAAGAGAGGAAAAAAAAAAAGAAAGAGAAAGAAAAGAAAAAAGAGTGAAAAAATTAAATGAAATTCGAAAAATTAAATCGATCATTCTACTTGCAGCTCAACATGAGCCGATGATTTATCAAATGGATGCGAGATCGGCTTCCTTGAATGGGATCTTAAATATGCAAGAATCCAAATGTCGGGCAACAAATGGGACATGGCGTTAAGAAAGCGTTTGTAATTAAGAGGCAGAGTCCTATTTCCAAGCCACTAGTTTTCCTTTCTTCCTCTAGAGATATTGTAGAAGATCCTCCACTGGATAATACTGCATAAGCAGATAAATTGACCATGAAGAAAAAAAAGAAGACAAACAAAGAGCTCATTAATGCATCTATCCATATAATGCAGTATTTACTCTATGCGCGTACGGCATAGGAAGAGGACTCGCGGAGATGAAGGTGGTTTGCATGCATATTAAATGAAGGTTGTCTCCAGCTACGTACTTTACTAAGATGATATTATTAATTGGCCGAAATATGGGTTGGGCTTGGCGAGCCATTTCCCAGCAAGCACAGCAAACACAATACACGTTAAGCAATCAGCTCGTACGTTATATCAAAGTTTATTTTGAAGCATCCGTTCTGCTAATGATTTGACTCTTGTTATCAACATTGTGACATCCTAGAATAATATCTTGAAAGGAAGAGTTAAGTTTCTAGGGTTCCATTCATTTCGGGCTTTCCAAGGCACTTGGTATTCATAAGTTCATGACATCACATTCACCTGGAATCACTATATTGGGAATGGAATGATGATCGTATTAGACCAACCTAAAAAAAGGTATCTGAGCTTCGTAGATATACCATGATTAACTATCTCACTCCAATTTAATGGGTGATGGCAAAGTTGGTGGAGAAATAATTGGAAAGAGAAATCCTGTCCATTGATTAAATGCTATATGTACGTACATGTATCACTTCAACTGAGAAGCCGGTGCAGTCACCTGAGCGATGAATGAGACGCAGCACGCAAGAGAACCTGTGAGCTGCTGAGGTTGTTCCAAGTAATATCAATGGAGATTTTTATCTGTAAGTAGTGCTTGGACTTGTCATGCACAACAGGAAAGCTTAGGTACGCAAGATAGTTTTAGGGTTTCACCAGATATGTCTGATCGTTGACTTGCGATAAACTGATGAAATGGCATTCAAAGGTCGCAAATCGTGGGGTGTTCTGTTCTCTGCATATGGAGTCTAGGAATCAATAACTTCATATGTTTCTAGGCTGTCCGTCTTCATGTCTAGGGAGGCAAGTGTTGGAGCTATGTTTGATAAAGAGAGTTAAGATGTTGAGTTAATTTGGCTGTGTGTGGTTAACTTTATCATGCATAGAATGAGGAACACTCTTGATGAACATTACAATGCTGTTGATAGCTTTGACGGTCTCTTTGATAGTCTCGAGTAAAATGTTTGCTATAAACTATCTTCTGCAGATATGAGTAAATGTATTTATAGGAATGAGCATGCATAAAGAAATATGTAAAAATTTTGGGGGAGTGATGGTAGAGTGATCTTGATGACAATTTGAAACTTAACTTTAACGGGCTTGTAGCTAACTGGCTAGATTAATCCCCCTGCTTGTTTTATTCTCGAAGGGTACTAACTAATCCACTAAATAAACAAATGATGAAAGATGCAGATACATCACACTTCCACTTTCTGGAAAAAATGTAGTTCTAGCTTTCTCATTTAAGTCTTGCCACATGCACCTTCACTCTAGTATCATATCACCAAGCCTCCCTAATAAATGGAGATCACCTAGCTCTCTAGCTAGCGTGTTACTTTGTATTATTGGACCAATCGTTCTTCCCAAGATTTAAACTATTAGGAAACGGACCAACAATGTATTTATAACGAATGACTTAACACTTCCCCTAGTTCGTAAGTCAATCTTACGCGCGCAATTAAGAAGGGTTCTGAACATAATTATTTTAACAGGATAATCAGTAGAACATGAAAACAAGCAGAATAACAAAAATAACACAAAAGAGAATATTGAGGAGTGTCAATATGCTAATTCTTGACTACCATGTCATACGAACTGTTATACAAATTGTTAGACCAATGATTTTATAGCACATGACCTAGAATTTAGAGGGGCCCTGAGAGATCCAGCAGGCTAAAGGACAAAGAGGAAGGAAGTTTGGTGGTTTCATTTAATTTGAGAGAGGTCCATATCATGGAGTGCCCTGAAAGTGACATATTGGAATAGTGACTTGCTAATTCTTTCGCCCTGACAGTCTCGATCATGATAAGGACTTGTGCTAGTTTCTTGCTTTAAGAAAGGTGAAGAAAACAGCAAATTTGAACTCTCTCACCTCTCTCTCTCACCCTCTCCCTCCAAAAAGAAAAAGTAGCAGTTGGTCTACGTTGTGAGGGTTTTCTTTCGTGTTTAGGGTTTTTGTCGGTGGGTTATTTGCCTGTGTGAACGCACCAATGATGGATTAAAGCCCCTGGGGGAATTATACAGATCATGGTGCATGGACATGATCATCAGCATATTAGTAGATGTTTATATTACACGAACCAGAAAGCAAACGAAATACATATATGAGTATGGATGTACGTGTACTACCGGTAGGTGTATCGTCTTTAATAAGAGGTTGATGATTAAATGGTAAATGCAGGCATGACCTGAGAAAAATCTCGATGCAGTAATGTCAGAACCATAAATAATCTGTAAAATTAGTTGCTCAGTATATCTCTTTGTAGTTATTGTCTTTTGTTCATGTGTGCACTGTTATTTTCGTTCTCGTTACTATTTTTCGAAACCCAGTTGCCTAATTTTACGGTGATGAGGACATGTCAACTGCTGAGATAACTTTGCAAGCCCCCATTTTACTGTGACGACACCTGCACACGTTAGAACGTTGACAAGCAGTAGACATTAGTCCCTTCGTGCGGTTTCTCCGATCCTTCCGCGGCTTCTCTTGCCTAAATGATTATGATATCATGTGTATACATGTCACCTTATGCAATTTTACAATATCATATCAAAGTGATGTTCTTTACGCCCGCGTTTCAGTATACACATCGAGTTAGTTCATTCGAAACTTGATCAATATTAACATATATTTCCTCAACATGTCACGCGATTTAAAATGTTTCGCCGTAATGATATTGCCTTATAGTGACCAAATTATTTTCACATATATTCCAAATTCGATCAACGCAACCATCCCCCTCTTCCCTCCAAGAATTCGATGCTACGAGCATGAAGTTGTGCCCAGATCCTCAAACATGCCTACAAACCCATGAAGGTGTGGACTGCACATGAAACTGAGACCTTGAAATCATCATGCATGGAATTTCGAGAAGGGAAATTTTCACGAGCCATCTCCATTTATTGCAGGCTGTGCCCTTTTGGGCACTTTTAGGTGGAGATCTTGGGCCATCTTCAATAACTGCTTGTCCCATTCACTGTTGTGTGTTCTTATCCCTATCTCAGGAGCTGGTCGCAGTTGAACGAGTCAACTCCTCCATTATTGAGCCAAAAGATAAAAGATTATTTTGATTGTTTCGTCACTTCCAGGGCAGCAGGAAGCAAAACTGTCGCACCCCACCTCTCTGATACGATTCTTCAAATATAATGAATAGTTAGGAAAGTCGGAGACTAGGGTTTCACGGCTCAATAATTTTCTTGTATCGGCTTCTCACATGCATCTTCCATTTTGGTTACTCTGACCACATTTTAGTGTGTAAGTTAGCTTTTTAGCTCAAACCATCTGGACCCAAAAGCAGAATGGCATCGTAAAAGATGGCATCAATCCGATGAATGGAAATTGAAATTGAAATGTAACGCGACGTCGGCCCCGTAAGTCTCCCGCCGGAATTAGAAAAAGTCGGCATTTTCCTCCGCTCGTGATCTGGAGAGAGGAATATCCTCCGGTGAAGCATGTTGTCTAGTTTGGGGTTCGCTCGGTTGCTAACAGGGAGGTAATGCTGTACCGTGTCCTGCAAAACAATAAATCACTTGTCTATGGTCCTACCATATAATTATGGGGAGAGAAATTGGTGTTTGATTGTGTGTTGATCCCAGCTATATGACAGCCCAAAGGATTGCGGGGACCAGAGGTGACGCGCTTTAAGTAAGCTTCGTACGTTGTTTATTCCAAGATTTTTGCGCTTTCAGCCTATGAGCCTTGTTAAATGTACATTATTTATTTGCAGCCTATGAGGTTACTTAGCAAAGTGTGATCCTTTTATCATATTTCGTGAATCGAGTTAAATCAACAAGTTTATTTTATTTATTTTTATTTAATTACTGTTTGAATGAACGAAATCATCCAAACATGTCAACTCGAAATATGTGTGTGTATATATAATATCCGTAGTAAATTTATTATGAATTTGAGTTCTCGTAACACATAAAAATGAAATAGCAGGCGAAGTTTGAATCCAATTTAAGATCACTTACATGTAGATAAAGGGCAAACCACCACTAGATGCAATTATCTCGTACACTGACAGTGGACTTAATAATAATTTTCATACTATATGCGGACTAAACATTTAGTTACGGTGATGTGCCATTTGCACAGCACTCGGTCCGACCAAGAAAATACATATTTCTACGAAATAAGGGGAACCAAAATTAAAGAAAAAAAGATTTTGTTGCCTTTTAATCATAGTGATTGCGTATGTGTTTTTAATGCCAAGGGGGATAATTATGCGTGGTTTCGTGGTAGGTTGTCAATGATAACTACTATATTCTAATTTGAAAACTATAGTGTGCCCTAATTTTTAATTCTGCCTTTAGAGAGACCCACTCTCCCGCCATTAACGGTTGCGGATCTTTGCAATTTCTAGTACATATGAAATGGTCAAAGAACAAGAAGCCTCCCAAAATAGAAAAACCAGAATAGGAATTCACGAACTTAGCTTATATCTCGCATGATGATAAGATGGATCCTCCATAATCAGAAAAACCCTCTATAAAACCCCACGCACGCTCTCCTTTTCACACACACACCAGAGAGAGAGAGAGAGTAAGTCCCCTCCTCCATCATGTCTAGCCCACGGCTTAGTTCAGTGATTGCTTCCCTGGTCATACTATCCCTCAGCATTGTAGCACCACCACCGCGAGCGGAAGCGGCTCGAGCTTTCTTTGTGTTCGGGGACTCTCTCGTCGACAGCGGCAACAACAACTACTTGGTCACCATTGCGCGCGCCGACTCCCCCCCATATGGCATTGATTATCCGTCCCACCGGCCGACCGGCCGCTTCTCCAACGGCCTGAACTTACCCGACCTTATCAGTATGTCAATTTCCTGTACTCCGTGATTATGACTTCGTGCTCATAGATTTATGTAGGGTAGGGTTTTGCCTCTTCTTTTTCTGGAGCAAGGATATGCATGCTTAACAATTTGACAGTAACATATGCCGAGTGAAGAATTATATACTGCAGATGAAATATGGGCTTCAAGTTTATTAATTAGGATCACTAAACAAAGTGACTTGTTTGTAAGATTTGGATGGTCAATGAGAAGTCGTTATCGTCACTTGATAAAAGAAGCTTAAAGAGATTTGCTGAAGGTTCTTGTATGTGGTCACTGAGAAGAATGTGATTATGTGACAATTGGTTTGATAAGAATAATCAAAGAGTAACTTGTGAAGTCAGTTTACAAAAGAAGCTCAAATGATCAGATTTTCTTGCTCCATAATGACATTATTCCCAAGTAATTATTCTGCTTATTGTTTTAGCACTTGACATGTAAACAAATGGGATGTATATCTAGGTGAGAGTATCGGTTCAGAGCCGGCGCTGCCATACTTGAACCCGGAGCTCACCGGAGAGAAGCTACTCATTGGCGCCAACTTCGCGTCCGCGGGGATCGGGATCCTCAACGACACCGGCGTTCAGTTTGTATGGTTCTTCGATCCCCTAAAGAGCGAAAGATCTTGGTCATGTGGTGTTTCACCTATAAGTTCTTATTCTCTGTTTCTCTTTTCTCTCCTTTTTTTTTAGCATGACCAATTAATGAAGCAGTCCCCACAAGAAGAAGCAGGTAGACCTCCATTAAAATGGAGATCTGACAATGGAACATAAAGTGTCGACATCTATTAGGGTTTCTAACGTATATGGACAGCCAAACTATGAAACTTATAGTAATGGAGTAAAAATAAAATGATAATGGCTCGTGTTGAAAGGGACATGGTGGTCAACAAGCTTTAATTTCAGATGTTGATGCCCGCGCGCAACTAATTCATTTGGAAAAGTGAAATCAAAGAAATTAATCTAACTTTTAATGGCTAAAAAGAACATTATGACTCAATTACGTAGATTTATTACCATGCAATCATATCTTAAGTGTATATGTCGAGCATGTAATGCCATTAAGGGCGTGAGAATACGTACATTCCAGTTCAAAATGTGTCAATGCTGATTGAAATTTTAAGCTGTGATGTTCTTGTTGTTGATTTCTTATCATTGTGCAGCTTACCATAATAAGGATGTTCCAGCAATTCGCGAACTTCCAAGTGTACCAAGCGAGGCTCAGCGCGCTGATCGGAGCAGAGCCGGCGCAGCAGCTGGTGAACGAGGCGCTGGTGCTGATGACCCTCGGCGGCAACGACTTCGTCAACAACTACTTCCTCACGCCCATCACCCCGAGGCGGCGCCAGTTCTCCATCGAAGCCTTCTCCGACTACCTCATCTCCGAGTACAGAAATATCCTCCGGGTGAATTACCTAAATGATTTATTAAATCCTCTCTTCATCCTCTTCAAGGATTGAACAATCACCCCTTGACCAAATTTCTTGGCCAAGTCGTAGTAGGAGATGACAAATTTGTGCTTAATGTGACACTATCTGCAGAGACTGTACGACTTGGGAGCCCGCCGAGTGCTGGTGACGGGGACCGGGCCGTTGGGCTGCGTGCCGGCCGAGTTAGCCTCGCAAGGAAGCCGGAACGGGGAGTGCGCACCGGAGCCGCAACGAGCCGCCAACATATTCAACCCGGCGCTCGTCCAGATGCTCCGAGGACTGAACCAGGAGATCGGATCCGACGTCTTCATCATCGCTAATGCGTTCCAGATGAACATGGACTTCATCAACAACCCCCAACAATTTGGTTTGCCTCCGTTTTATGCTCCCTTTATGGCTCCTTAACCAGTTCGCGGCTTGTTCCGGTGCTGCTTGCATTACTCATTTGCCTATCCTGATTGCCAATTTCGGATCACAGGCTTTATTACATCCAAAGTGGCGTGCTGTGGACAAGGGCCTTACAACGGGCTGGGAGTATGTACCACCCTCTCGAACTTGTGTCCCGACCGGAGCGTGTACGCATTCTGGGACCCGTTCCACCCGACCGAGCGCGCGAACCGGATCATCGTCCGACAGATCCTGACCGGCTCGACCGACTACATGAGCCCGATGAACCTGAGCACCATCATGGCCTTGGACTCCAAGATCTGATCAATTGAAGTCTCTCGGGTAGCAGCATTACTTATTTCGGAGCAAGCAATCAGTCTCCAACTCTCAAGTGTCTTCTTATTGGAGTATGTACTTACCACATGTCAAGCGTAACATGATTTGCTGTGGTTCAGACTTTTCTGTTGTACTAAATTAGTCTCTCTTTTCTAATGAGTGATTATTAATTGTTTTCCTTTATCTTTGGAAGCATATATTTCTATATATACTATTGTTTCACTTGAAATTGGGAGTTGTCCCAAATAGTGAAAAACCTTTCACTAGAAGGTTGATCTTTTTTTGGTTTTTTATGGAACGCAATGGTGATTTTGTACAGGATTTCAATGGGTATAGCAAGAATTTAAGACGGTAAATGAAAGGAAAGGAATTTACAAGGAATTAAAGTTGATAAATTGAAAAGGTAAATAAGAAATTCGTTCATGATGATTGTTCTCTTTACAATTACACACTGCCTTTTGTAATCTACTAAACATAATCGCTCATAAGCAACTAATATTTTAAATGCGGTTACAATTTCATTTCCACTGGACTTCACTGTCAATCGGTATCTTGGCCTTCGGTATCTTTACTTTGCCTACTTTCTCCTTCTCCATGTATCCAACACTTAGCCAATTTTATCATGACTGGCTATATATAGGTCTTGTTATCAAAACGAGATGTTTGTCGACCATACACCACTGCACATCGATAACTTTGTTGCCTTGTCATCATTAAACATTGTTCGTAGTCATCAATGAATTTCACCATCGTTGATAACTACATTATATAATTGTTCATGACTATCACATCACTTGTTGATAGCGCTATCTCGATCTTATCACCGATACGTTGTCTATTATCACTTTCTCAACCCCTTTCGAATTTAATTGCTCCCTGATTGTAACTATTTTACCCATTTAATTTGGACAATTCGCTCCTCTGTACGAGTTTCTTTCATTTCAAATAGTGTGATTCTCTTTCCTTAATTTGGGAATTATTGATCAGAAAATTACTACTAACGATTATACACGACTCTCGTTAATTGGAAGGGATTTTGACCAAAAAAATTGGATGGAAATGCTGATGTGGCAATTGAATAGCCATTAAGTACTTACGTGGCAGCTGCCCATCACCAACCGTCCCTTCTACAAATTTGAAAGAAAAATTAGAGAAGATAAAGTTGAGGTTTCTAAAAATATGAAAAATTGGAATTTAAAATAAAGGAAAAACCATCTTGTGCTTGCTCCAACAAACAAACGGCGACGGCGTCATTGCCAGCCATGGGTGAGGGTGGCTAGACCCTTGTTTGGCTCGGGCAATGGTGGCAAGGCCCTCACCGGCAGCCGAATGCTCACCTCTGTCGCTTGTGAATGCCACCCACATCAACGGTGGAGGGAGTGCACCGCACGCGACAGAGAGGTTGAGTGAGACATGGACACGACCCTCGCCGGTATCGCTACTTGCCAGCAAGTGTTGCAAGCCGTCGGCAAACACCTGCAACGGTCACTCCTTCGTCGGTTGGGCCGTAGACCCATGGTGGCTAATGGTAACATTGGCAATGCCAAGACTAAATTGGATTTTCCCATCACGAGTCAACCGACGGCATTGACTGGACAGATTAAATTGATTTTAATTCAAAGAGAATATATCATATTGGTCAACATGAATAAAAAAAAAATTTAAGATGTCACCAAATAATAAAATTTATTAAGATCAAATTAATTTGAGCAAGAGTTGCTCTAGTATCTTTGACATTGTCCCAGAAAGAAAAAAGAAAAATGACATAAATGATTTATGAATTTTTGCTTAATATGTAATGCGGTTCTTAAACTTTTACTTAATGTGCAATATGGCCCCTAAACTTTTAATCTGTTTAATGTGATTTTTAAATTTTTGATATATGTTCAATTTCGTTCCTAAATTATATGAAGATGTTCAATATTATTCTTGATCCTGAATTAATAAAAATACGGCATTGAATATTTTTATATAATTTATTAATTAGATTAAATATATATAAAATTTATTTAAAATTTAAAAATTATACTGAATAAATTAAAAGTTTAAGTACTGCGTTGCAAGTTAAATCAAAATTTATGACCATTCGTGACATTGCCCAAAAGAAAACAAAGTCGGGCGCGTAAATCCATCGAAGCAGACGTTTCCCTCGAGCTCGAGCAGCCAATCTCACTCGCCTTCCTCGCTCCGCCTCCTCCTCCTCCTCCCGCGAATCGATCTCCGCCTCCTCCCCGCCGGAAGCCGCCGCCGAGCATGAGGTCAGCTCCGTCGCTCGTCTCTCTCTCCCTGGAAGCCGTCGAGAACGAGCTCCTTCGAGGTAGTATTCCTCCCTCGCGGTTCGGCAACCGCAGCCTCTGCCTCTGCCTCTGCCTGTCGCTGACACGGAGGGAGATGTTTCCTCGCTCTGATTCTGCTGTTTCGCCCGCGAAAATCTCAGGGGACGATCTCCTTCCGCACGTCTACGAGCTCCCGGCGCATCTGTTCGACACCCTGGTGGCTCGCTTGCCGCCGCTGAGCTTGCAGAAGCTGCAGAACGGGATGTGAGTGGGACTCGTCCTGTTTGCTCTGAAATCATTCCATTAGAGTCGATTTCGTTTTGCGATGCGTACATCTGACTCTGTGTGTGTGCGTGATGGCGGATTGCGCATTTTCGCGAATTGAGGAGACTAACTACCGTGGAGTTGAGTAGGAAATCTGTTAATTTTGCCGTGTCTTTCTTACCAATCGTGTTTTTCCTTGTTGACCGACCGTCTTTATTACAAGTTAGCTCGAAATTTTCTTTTGAGCAGGCCGAAATGGAAACGGGACGATTATGACGCGAATGATTGCTTCACGAATGGTAGAAAACGCGCGAGGTCTGTGAGAGTTTGTCGTGCCTTAATTTGAGTTTTATTAGAGAGCATCCTATTGGACGAGTCATTGTTCGAGAGAAGATATTGAATTCGAGTTTATTGCGATAGGAATGGGAGCTTCGACGATGCGTGGAGGTCATTGTTTAAGCGGCGCTGGGCGGAGCTCGTTGACCAGGTGCGACCAGCTGATTGGCAACAGGCTTACTGGGAGATGCACTTGCGGAAGTACGATGAGTAGTTTTGAATTTAGACATCGGGTGATATTTATCTTTCATCATCGTTTTGATTCTGTTGTTCTTCTTGTTGGAAATCAGTTGCATAGATGAAGCAGCGGAGGTTGCATTGCTCCCGTCCTTTGATGGGAAACTAGGCGAAATAAGAATTTCAGGTATATTTCCTGAGGTCCTTTGTATGTCTCAAATATATTTTTTTTGTCAAAGATGAAGCTTTGAAAGTGAGAATGAGAGTCTAAGACAGGCTTTGATACTTTATTCACAATGATAATTATTGGCCATCCATAAAATTCTTTTTTCTCAGCAGTATTTATTTTCTGCAATATGATATCTTTGTTCTCCACAGATGCTATGTTGAAATTTCTCGGGTACGAGGGGCAAACTGATGCTTTAACATCCAAGTACTCAAAACTTTATCAGCATTGCGAACGCTTTGGACACTACATTAGGTAATTTTCTATAAATTTGTATTGATACAATAATATCCCCTTGTTTATGTAACTGCCTACTTCTCATTCAGAGTCTGTATTGTAATCTATAATGAAACTGTTTTCCAGTGGACGTGAGCAACTTTGTTTCTGTTTTATCGTTTTGTTGTTCTGCAGATATCTTAGACTTCAAAATGTGCTATGCGTTGAAGAAACTTGTGTAAGTTACTCTAAAATGTTATTGTTTTGTTATGTTTATCACTTTGAAAATCTGTCATTTTGTGTAGCTAGATCTGTGAAGCATATTGAAGAGAATAAATTCCAGCACCTGAACATGAAGTTTAGCATAAATATGATATTGCGTGTACCTCAACTTACTAATTTCAATGCAGAGAAGCTAGATAACCTTTTATTGTTAATGTTATGTTTGGTCTGTTTTTAATGTGGCCTGAGCAGATAAAAAATTGCTCTATGCATGCTCTATCTTTTTAACCTCCAGAACGTGTGTGAATCCAAAACGATTTTTTGTTGGCCTGAAAACTTTTGAATGGCAAAGCAGTAAGCATCTTGGGTGAGTCAGTAAATGGTGGTCTGTTGGCCAAAGAGTTAAAAATTAATAAATGGTTAGTCTAACTTCAGTATTTCTTTTTTTCAGCATTTGTTGAAGAATTCTAGATTGGAAAGCTTGGTACTTCAGTGGATCAGAACGAAGGAGCATGTAAGTTACCCTTTCCTCTTCCCCCCAAACCCACCCCGCCACAACTACCCCCCCAATGACTAAAGGTGGACATACCCATGGACTGGACCTGTCCACATGATTCTCTTAGAAATCCTTCTAAGAAGAACCGGCAATGGGAGACAATTTAATATTTAAAGTAGAAGGTAGTGCAAGGCAGGCATGCAGGATAAGCCTTTTTGCATATCTTTGGCTGATGATTTTGAAGTAAGCCTAGGGGATACTGTGAATGTTGCATGTTGAACTAGTCATATGCAAACAACATCACGATACTTTTCAGACTTAAATTTTTGGGGTTCCTCTTTTATGCTTTCAGTTTCGGTTAGATTGCTTAATAAGGGGGTATTCGGGGAGGGTTTTGCCCCTAGTTTCTACTCTGGACTTTTAATCCAAATATTTCTTGGACTATATGAGTCAACAAAAAAGGATGACATATCATCGTATAACACTGGTTGATCTGAACTTTTATTGTTTCTTTTGCTGTATTGTGAAAGCCATAAAGTCAGCAAATGCAAGGGTTATATTTGCCAAACACTAATTTTAACAAAAGCCATTGCTAAAGCTAGAAGTCACGAGTCACGGCTAAAGCCAAAAAAACCCATTCTGGAAATGATGATGCCTTTTGCATTTATCTGCTCCTAGACTGACCATCTCTTCACTCACTCAAGCAGCTGCACAAGTAAGCCTGTATTACTGAAGATGGAACATTTCAACTCTGCTGCAACCCGTGGCATGATAGATCTAGCCTACTTTGATTAGGTGGCCGTACATTTTTTTGCACAATCCACTGTTTTTCTTCAGTGATATTTAGTTCTTGTAAGAGAAGAGCATGAGTCAAAGACTATTGATGATATTAATTGTGATGGTCATAAAATACTGAGAAGATTCTACTGAGACATTGCCAGGAAGAGGTAGTGTAGATCTGCGCTTTCTGCCAAAAGTGCTTCCTTTTGTTACCTGAAATCCCTGTTCAATAGGAGAGAGTCCTGGGCACTGGCCATTGGGGTCAAACCAAGTGTGAAGCTGTACAGTAAGTATAGATGGCATAAGGTTCACTTGCACTTCTTAGCAACTGATTGCAAACAAAGACACCGGATTGACATGAACATGGGGTAGCTGTGCTTCAATAGAGGTAGTGCATGTGAGGTGATGTTCAAAGTCATGTATAAAATACTTGGATAACTCGTCTTTGGCCAAATGCCAGAAAAAAGCACGAAGTAATACCCTCAATACAAAAAAAAACCCCGTTTTTCAAACGACCCAAAGAAAAGCACAAACTTTTGCTTGATGGACAAAAATGTCCATGAACTTATATCCTCAGGACAAAAATAACCTCACTTTTGGAACAATCTCAAAGAAACACAAACTTTTACTAAAGGGACAAAAATATCCATTTTTACCTTTTCTGGAAAAAAGGCTAATGCTGCATCTGCGTGGCTAACGGCTGTGATGTGTACAATAGACACGTCAACTGAGCAAATTGACACCTGTATTTTCAAACAAATTGGATGTAGTTTGAGTAGGGTTTCAATTCATTCTTAAGAGACAAATGATTTTATCTCCAATTCGAGTTCACAAATTGGATGCCTAAGACTTTTCCCCAAATTGAGCTTGCAAAATAGGATTTCATATCATCTATTTTGAGCTAATTTGTGGAGTTTGAGCAACTCGTGAAGTTCAATTAGCCACCTCAGATGCTTTTTTTGTTCAATTGAAAAGTGAGGTTGGTTTTGTCCCAAGAGTAGAAGCTCATGGATATTTTTGTCCCTCGAGCTGAAATTCTTGCTTTTTTTTTGTCGTTTGAAAAGTGGGGTTATTTTTTCCCTGAGGGGTTCATGCTTTTCTAACTCATAGTTGTCACGTCCTAAGAGCATTTCTCTTACTTTAATTATGTATGATCAATTCCATATTAACCAAAGTAGGTACATTTTAGTGAATTTTCTAGCTATGAATGAATGTTGGTTATGATATTAGTACTTTCAATTCGCTTCTTGTCATGGACAAAATATCAACCAAGCATTCTGCACACCCTTCTATTTTAGATGTGAAAGCTTACAAAACACGATTCTACAGGTTCATGGTTTATGCCAACTTCTGCTCCAGAACTCTGAAACATTGACATCCCTTGAATTTATTCACTGCAAACTTCCTTCAACTTCAGTGAGTTCAATATGTGCTTCGCTTCATGTTAAGGGAATGCAATCTCATGGAATAGTGCAATTCTCCGTTCACGCATCAAGCTTTCTCGACAGCAATTCGGTCTTTCCTTCTGAATTCTCGTCATTTCTTTCATGCGGAAGGTAATCTTTGTTTTGTGCTATAACCAACTTCTGATTGCACATTATCTTGCTTAGTCTCACTCTTCAATTGAAAACTTTACGTTATGGACTCTGTTGTGTTATTTTATTTTGTGCTATAAAGTAAATATTTAAAGAATCCCCAAGAAGTTATGAACCCATATAGTACAAGTAATACAAGAGAATTCACTGTGGATGTATAACAACTGCATGCAGCATGATTTTCACCTCATAATATTTAAGAGCTATTTACTAAGTGCCTGAAATCCAATATTAAGAACCTACGTATATGGAGTTTGTATTATGTGTTGTTCAGAAGAGATGGGCGTCATTGGGACAGTAATATTTGCATCTTGCAAATGTTGTGATCAATTTCTACTTTTTATTTCATCCTTTTATAGTGTGACAATGAGCAAATGACTGGATTACGTGTTCTACAGAGAGTTGAGTGTATTAGCTTAAAAACTTAATGGCTTATTTGTTTAAGATCCAGCAAAAGCAAAAAGTTCCCGCCAAAATTTAAAGTATTAGTTGAATTTAAAATTAATTTTGAAAAAAATCATATGTGAATCTACGTGTCAATATCCGTATGCTGTGAAAGTTTCAAGTGTTTAGGGTTTGAGCAAAGTCAAATTACGTGAGCTACAATATTTAATTTAAGCAAAAAGTAAAAGTCAACCAAGATAGACCCTTAAAGAAGTTGGCTTTCTTAGTCCTTGTACTACGGGACCTTGTGCGCCTTTTTCCACGAAATTCATGTTCTCCAGTTGATATGGCCGTCTATGTATCTGGGGAAGAGAGCTACTTCAGTATTTCAGAATATAGGAGGCATATACTGCTCTGTCAGATGCTTAGTGATTGTATTACCCAGTGAATTTTAACCCTTGATTCCTGATTTCGCTTTTGAAACTTTTGTTGTCAGGCACTTGTATTCACTGAGATTTTGTGACGCCCACCTGGATAGACACTCCGCTGGGTTGGTATTTACTACACTTCTTGATGCTTCATCTGACCTATCCATCCTTGATCTCTCTGATAATGAGGTGCATAATACGCAAATTTTTCTTTCCATCGTTTTTGTTTCTCAGGGAAAAAACTAACTTGAGATCAAATGTACTTTACTTGCAGATAGCAGGATGGCTTTCTAGTTTCACCTGGAAATATAAAGGGAGCGCGATCTCATCTATCGGAGCTAGCAAATCATTGGCTTCATTGTGTGTGCTCAATCTGAGGTATGACCCCGACCATATGCAGAATTAATGGTTTTAGATAAACAATCTGTACCCCTTTCTCTTATTATCCTTCTTGGGCTTGGATTTAGTAGGGGTGGAAGTGATAAAATCCTGGACACCGTACTTTTATTGTAGTTATTGTAATTTTGCTATCATTGCATTCAGGGGAAATAATCTTCACAGAGAAGATGCAGACAATCTTAGACATGCTCTTGCTCACATGCCTGCCTTGCAAACACTAGATTTAAGTGAGAATCCCATTGGGGATGATGGACTAAGGTCAGTACAAGTTTTACATCTTCACAGTTGTGGGGCATGGCTTGTTATTCGTCTTTGATAGTATTTTCCTCTGCAGACATCTAATTCCCTTTTTGGTTGAGGCATCTGGAAAAGGCTTTTTCTTGGTTGACTTAAGTCTGGAAAACTGCGAGCTTTCATCCGACGGAGTTATCGAATTCTTAAGTACCCTATCCACCTTAGATAAAACACTTGGTTCGCTCTCTATTTCAGATAATAGGCTTGGCAGGTACTTCTCTAGCCTTATAATTACTCTTTAACTCCTGAAGCTTATTTTTGTCTGGTTTATTAAATTTGGTCTTATGTCTGTTTAGCCATGTAGCAGAAGCCTTGCTAAAGTTATTGGGCACAGCAATTCCAGTACTTAATATAAGTGGTGTTGGATTGGATTCTTCTGGCTTTCAAGAGTTACAGAAAGTATCATGCAAATCTTTGAAGCTTGTCAAAATTGATATAAGGTTAACATTGAGCATGGGTTTTCCATTAAGCCTTTCTTATTGGTCATTCACTATGATTAAGATAAGTCATTTAATTTGCTTGGTATAGTAAAAATCGCGGTGGGATTGAATCTGCCAAATTTTTGTCAAAGCTTATCGAATGCGCGCCACAGCTCATTGCAGTCAATGCTGCGTATAATCTTATGCCTCCAGAGTCCCTCACAGTCATATGCTCAGCATTGAAAGTTGCGAAAGGTACTTTGTTCTAGTAATACCTTATAAATTCTTGAGTTGGTTCAATCTTCCTTTGGCTAATGTTGCGGTTTTCATTTAAGTAGTGTATATTTAATGGGTGTACTTATTGTTATGAAGTGTTTTACATCCTTCCCTTTTCTGGTGACTTCGAATGCTGAAGTAATCTTAGATGGAAATCTTGTAGAGATGAGGTACTCAGAATTTTTCAAACTTTAGTGAACTATAAGTTCTAGCAATCACATACTAAATTATGCCTTATACCCTGTCTTATTCAAATTGTGTTATGTATTATCTTTAATCTAATGTCTGTTCATATGTGGTGATACGATGACTTCACCATGCACTTGCGACATAGGTAATCTTGGGCTCTTGGACTTGAGAGGTAATAATTTGGACAAACTTGCCAATGATGCGAGCATGCTTGTTGATCTTCAACGGGATGGAAGACTTCGTATAGTTTTTGAATCGTCACCAACCTCAGACGCCCCTTATGATGATGATCCTTGACACTGTCTTGGAGCATTCGGAATGTGCAAAATCTTCTGATTCCACACACTTTGGGCTTGAAGATAGAACCTCTTCTCGTTACACATGCCCTGCCAAATGTGACAATTGGGTAAGGAACTCCATGCGTGTATGATTAATTTCGATACTCAGCTTTTGCTTGTGATTCTACCTGCTATCCATATGTCTCTGCCTTACCTTTCAGGTACTCTTGATTGCAGTTGAGAGCATCAGACTACATTTGGTCTTCATAGACTGGGAGGTCACCAGCCATCTCAAGTGGCATTGTCGTTTAGGGCTGTACAGAGCCTTTCGAACTTAAGGGGCACTGGGTTTTTATGGCCAATACAAGATTCGGGCAATTTTTTCTTCGCTGATGGAGTATGATTAGCCGATGTGCACGTACAATCTCACCAGCGTACATGTTTCTCCTTCAGACTGTGAGCTGTAGCTGGACTATCTTAGCTTTTGACTATCTGCTGTTGGAGTTTCTTTGGCACTTCTAACTCAGGGATCTAAGTAGGCGCCTATATGAAAACTTCGTCCAATTGCGCTAATTCTGTAAGATCTCTTGATCGAGAATTGTCTGGCCTAGCAGGAATCTCTCTCTGCTCCTAACAAAGGTTTTACAATTGGCCAACCCTGAATTTCTTCTTTTTCTTCTTTTTTCGTTAATCAGCCAACCTGTAAAGATCGATCTCTTCCTTTCTTTATACAATTCATAAATTTAAAAAAAAAAGGAAGAAAATAAATCGTTAAACGTCAGAATAGCAAAGCCCACCATGATGAAGCGAAAGCGAAAGCGACCACAACACTCGCTCCCCTTTTTCTCCTTTCCCCTTGAGCTTGTGTCCAAAAGCAGCAGTAGTTAAGAACTTAAGGTGGCTTTGTCGTGAAGCTAAGGGCCTCCCCCTTGTTTCTATTCTCCAGCAAATCATCGCCTCGTCCGAGCCTTATCCTCTCCTAATCCATCACATAAACGCACGATTCGTGCAAGTGACCCGTGAACTAACCACTTTAGTTATTATTGTCTGGTGCCGCATTGTCTGGTGCCGCATGTTTGTCGCCATGATTATTAGGTCTCAATGCGCCAATTTTTTCTTCTTTCGTCCATTTAACTCCATTCCAAAGCGAACTCGTTCCTTTTCTCGGTTGGGATTCAGACAGCGACGTAGATTAGGTGCATTCTTATCAATGTCAACCCCTCTCCTCTATTGTCCCTTTCCAACCTCGCAAAAAATTGGAAAAAAATTTGAGATGACTGTCCATCTTTGCAATTCGCCCTCATCTCTTGCCTAATGCTTCTATACATGCGGCATTTAATTCTTTAACGGAAAAATGACACAAACAGTCTCTGAACTTTGGCTCAATGTGCAATTTGATCTCTGAACTTTCAATTTGTTCAATGTAGTCCTTGAACTTTAACCCAATGTTCAATGTAGTTGTTGAACTTTCAATTTGTTAAATATGGTCCCTGAACTTTTGGTACAAGTTCAATATAGTCCCTAAATTTTATAAAAATATTCAATATAGTCCTTCCATTAATTCAAATTCAGGAACTATATTGTACATTTTCATATAGTTCAGACACTAAATTGAACATGTACCAAAAGTACATGGACCACATTGAACAAATTAAAAGTTCAGGGACCACATTGAACATTTAATTAAAGTTCAAGGACTACATTGAACAAATTGAAAATTAAAAGTTCAGGGACCACATTGAACATTTAATTAAAGTTCAAGGACTACATTGAACAAATTGAAAGTTCAGGGATCAAATTGCACATCAAATCAAAGTTTAGAGATTGTTTGTGTCATTATCCCTTTTTTAACATCCCAGTTTCTCTTGCATTGGATGATTGGAAGCCCACTCTCATTGATACAAAGACCCCATATTTGTTTTTATTTTTCACCTCATATGGTACAATGCAATCACTAGCCTTCTGTATTTTAACTCGTTTCTTTAACTTAAAAACCGTCCAAAGGAAATTAGGGGTAAATCGGGAATAGATAATGACTCGTGATTCACCGTAGTTTTTTTTTGGGTGCAAATTGACGTAATCATAAAGTTAGCTTGCAGCTCAAATTTTGGCGGGTTGAAAATAGAGACAAATTATGAATAACTAACAACTTGTGATTCGCGGGATTGTATTTTTCGTTTAAATTGACTCGAATTCGGCGGGCACGCATCATTCGAAACTCATAATGAAATCTCTGCGAAACCGCATCTCTTTTCGTCAACGTAGAACGGGTATAATTTGCTTGCAAAGTATATGTTTTGCTTATGTGTTTTTTGGCCAATGTGGTGCTCTGTGTGTGTGGGGTAGATCTTGATCTCCCCCTATTCGACGAGCTCCCCCCGCAGTCCCGTCCCACGCCCTCGTCGGTCGGGTCGCCCGGGCCCACCTCGCGCCGCACGTGACGAACCCGAGCCCCGACGAGGTCCGTCCTGGACCCGACTTGACAGCGACCGACGGGGTCCCCGCCGTGGCACGTTTCGTAAATAACTCCCATTTCGGGTGGCAATTTCATCCGCGCCTCCCTTCTCTCTCTCTCTCTCATGCACAGAGACACAACACACAGTAGTCACTGTCGCTTCTCCAAAGTTGAGCGTCAGCGTCACTCAGAAAAAAACTACTTTTTTTTTTTTTCTTCCTCCCACTGCAACACTCACCACCATCTCAACTTCTCTCTCTCTCTCTCTCTACATCGGAGAGCTCCGCTCCGAGCCAACAACCTCCGCCGCTCGATCCGCTTTCTCTCTCCTCGCCCCGCCCCGCCCCCCGCCTCCTCGTCGCCTCGCCCTCCCCGCCCGACCGGCCGAGATGGAGGAGGCCCTGGAGCTCGCGCGCGCCAAGGACCCGAAGGAGCGGCTGGCCGCCGTGGAGCGGCTGTACCAGCTCCTCGAGGCCTCCCGGAAGAGCCTCTCCGCCCCGGAGACGTCGTCGCTCGTCGGCTGCTGCCTGGATCTCCTCGGGGACGGCAACTTCCGGGTCTGCGAGGGCTCCCTCCAGGCCCTAGCCTCCGCCGCCGTCCTCTCCGGCGAGCACCTGAAGCTGCACCTGAACGCGCTCGTCCCCGCCGTCGTCGAGCGCCTCGGGGACGGCAAGCAGCCCGTGAGGGACGCCGCCCGGAGGCTGCTGCTCACGCTCATGGAGGTAACTGCCCCGTTCCGCTCGCTCGCCCGCCCGCTCGCGTGCGTGCGCTGTGTGAAATGCGAAGGCGGTGATGGGGATGCGCGTGTGGTGTTTGTTTTGTTGGAATGTTGATTGCTGGAGTGAAGATTTTGTGAAAATTCGGACCGTAGTAGTGCGCGGTAGTTTCTCGATTGAAGTTTTACCTATCAAAGAAATTCTTTGAAGTTCTCCCGGATTTTCTAAAATGTGGGTTCGTTCGTGAACAATCAGAGATGCTAATGGTTGATCTCCGTGTTGCTGATACTTGAGAATTATTGTTGTCGTGTGAGAAGTTCTAATTTTTAGCACTGTGCATCTTTTAACTTCAAATATCGTCTGTGTGACTCTTGGTCTTGGCCTTCTTTAATTAAGGCTGTTTAATAACCTGAAATGAAGTCAATGTACAAATCAAGCTTGGTTGACTTAGTTCTTAGACATTTCAGACGTTCCAGGGTTTAATTTGACCAAATTTTGCCTTGGGAACTTCTTTTTAACTCCTTTGTAGTGTTTTATTTTCCCCTGTAAGGAGAGGATTTTTAGAGATTTTTTTAGGAGCATTGGCAGCTCATTAGATGGGGAGTTCAAAGCAATCATCGTGCGTTACTTCAGCCTCAATTTATGCAAAGAGTGGAAACGACCTGTATATTTTTTAGGGTTCCTATGCCTGAACAGGATTTGCAAGGAGGAAACTTGAATTGGAGAACTGGTTCAGTTTGGTTCTCAGTTAACCAATTTGTTTTCTTATTATGTTCGTGTTAATTAAAACGTGTTAATTAAATATACATTTTCTTTTCCCACATCATCTATCATCCCTATTTCATGTGATATGTATGTTGCAACAAAAATGACTCAGTTTAGGCTAAACTGCTCAGTTCTTCTTATTTGTGTGGTTTCTTTGTCTGAAAACCTTAGATCAAGTTGGAGGAAAAGCATGAACGGGTATTTAATTTGCCCGAGAATTAGAACCGACCTTTTGGTTTGCATTGCTTATTTCCATTTGAATTCAGTTGTGCCTGGTTGTTTGCTCACTACTAGCTTAAACCAGGGCGAAATAGATAGGACCATGAAGTATATTTTCTATCTCTTCTTTCTAAATTTCCAGGAAATGCAAAGGGGAGTTCTCCTTCCTTATTGTAGGAAACGCAAGGGGACTTTAATATTTCTTTCCTTCTTCCTAGTATTTTTTTTTCCATGTTTTGGTGCCATTTAAACTCTAGTGATCTTTCACTTGTTTTTCTAGGTTTTGTCAAACTTGATCTTGGTTATGCATTTCCTGCAGGTTTCTTCGCCAACAATAATTGTTGAAAGGGCTGGGTCTTTTGCTTGGACTCACAAAAATTGGAGAGTCAGAGAAGAGTTTGCTCGGACTGTGACTTCTGCAATTGGTCTCTTTGCATCTACAGAGCTTCCTCTTCAGCGGGCCATCCTTCCGCCGGTATGCCCATTGACTCAACTTAGTTGGGAGAGTATAGAGATTTTTTCCTCCAAACTGGATTTATTAACGCTTCCTTTCATTTCTAGATTTTGCAAATGTTGAACGACCCAAATCATGGTGTTAGGGAAGCAGCTATATCATGCATTGAGGTCAGTGGCATCCTTGACACATTACTCCTTCAAGTCTTGTAAGATCTTTATGTGGAGTTATCTTAATTTGCTAAGAAGTCTCCTGTTTGACCTTGTATTTCCTCGTATTTCTTGTTTAGAGTTGTTTATGAAAAGCATCATATAGTTCAAACTTCATACAACTAACTATTTTTGGTAGTTGTGGGAGTGAATTAGTGTGATTGGTAAGCAGAAAATACTAAAACCAATGTGTTTGCATGGAAAAACTCATAATCTTGCAATAGCACTCGCAAATCCCTTTGCTTCGGTCAGCTGTAATAGAGTCAAGTTGGATCCATCTCACAGAGTAGTTGTTGGATTTGCATTTGAATTATAATATTTTGTTGCCAAACTCGGTGATATGCTCATCGCATAAAAAATCCTCAAATAGCTTTATCTCTGTTTATAAGTAACCTCTACTGTGATGGCAACATTTTTTTTTGTCAGTGGTATGACATTAAGGAGAGACACAATGCATCCGCTCCGGATGTTCTGTTCACACAGAAGTTGTTTAATGATAAGAGAAGCTGTATCTGTATTACTTTTGTTTAGCTCATAATTTTATCCTGGTCAGTGCTTGTAAGTCTGCTCAAGGATCAAAATCGGTGTTGAATTACTAGGCACAAGTGACATTAGTCAAGACTCCTCTTCCGCGAAAACTCATAATTGACCATTAAACATGTTTTTTAATTTTCTCCTGTCTCTTCCGTCATCCTGTGAATAATGGTTCCTTTCTCAAATAAAGCCTGGTGCTGGTTGACCTATTTTCTAATTCTTTGTTACGAGAAGCAAAAGTAAGTTTCAGCAGCTGTGATACTTGTATTCTGACGTCACTGTTCTGAAAGATAATTGATGCAACTTTTACGGAAAGCTTATACAGTTGTGTTTCTCTTATAAGATGGATGAGCCGTTCTAGGGAAGCAGCATGTTTTGCCTGTTGAACTTGAAATGGCATTTCTCTCTTGAGCTTTTTGATTTGTCTTTTAACTGGTTGCTGGACCACATTCATTGAGAAGGCTTTTTGTTTCCTCTCTTTCCAGGAGATGTATACACAGGCTGGGTCTCAGTTTCGTGATGAACTTCAACGGCATCATCTCCCTTCATCAATGGTGAGTATGTGCATATACTAATTAACAGATTTTATCATTCTGCTGTCTAGTTTAAACATTCTGATGAAGTGCAAAAAATATTGAGGGATTCCAGTCTTTTCTTTTATTTGATTGGATAACCAATATTTTTGCTTTTCAGAGAAAGGAACTTTTTGCTACCTTCTGATAGAAATTATGATTGCAGGTGAAAGAGATCAATGCAAGATTAGAGAAGCTCGAACCACAAATTCGTAATTCAAATGGACTTACGGGTAATTTTGCTGCCACAGATACAAAGCCTACAAGTCATAACCCTAAACGAAATAGTCCCAGGGCAAAGAGTTCTACTAGGGATATGTCTCTATTTGGAGGTTAGCATCTTCACTTTAATTCTTTCTATATATCTTTAAGTGTATGATCTATACTACAGTCCCCAAAGATATCTTTTCACCACATTCAAGGTAGAAGTAGAATGCTCTTCCATTCGATTGAATGTGTTTTTTTCCCCTTTCCTTGAGAGGTGGTGGGGGTTGGATGTATTATGTTTTGACATTTTGTTGGGAAAGTTAAGTATATTCGTGAAATATTGATGGACTTGTTCTTTGTGGTGTTCTGTACTTCTCTTCCAGTCCTACTCTGACCACGAAGCTTTTGACAAACTTTGTAAGATGTGCTTTCGGTTTAATCTTTCGGTGTTCTCTTTTCTGTTCTGTTCTGTGCAGGTGAAGGTGATGTCACAGTAAAACCCGCAGAACCAATTTCTGTATACTCAGAGAAAGAGCTGATAAGGGAATTTGAGAAGATTGCTTCTACCCTTGTACCGGATAAAGATTGGTCAGTTCGCATTGCTGCCATGCAAAGAATCGAAGCACTAGTTTTTGGAGGTTTTTACTCTCTCTCTCTCTCTCTCTCTTATGGGATTATGTCGTTCTCATCATTATGATAGTCGCAATTTTATGTTGATTTTTCAAAGAAACAAGTCTAATTACCACATTGAAAATAGATCCCATGCTTGCCACCTCGCTTGAAATGATAGATCCATGCCAAATGTGACTGAGATGGGTATAGATCTGGTGGCACAGTGGTACCTCCTAAAAGGGTGCTTCAGCATTTTAAAGGTGTTTAGTGAACACCTCAGAGCCAATGTTGCCCCCTCTTAGCTTTAGGGTGCTACAGTTTTAGGACATGTTGTCGAATGCATGCGCTGCACATCAGACTTCATTGCACAGCAACAACAGTTGTAAACAGACACTACAACAATTGCCAAAAGAAGCAGTTATAAATTTCCCTGTGAATATCTAGATGTCTGTTTGAATAATCTTTATCGAGATAAATCTGATTAATCAACAATGTGTTGGGGCAACCTTAGTTTACTGTTAGAACTCACAAAATCTTAATACTGTATACACGTGCTCTTCTCCTATCTTCCAATTACCAATTTTAATGTCTTTATAATCTAATCCTTATTTATATGTTTATTGATTATTTTACCTGATGATCCTTGACTTTGCTCATGAATGCAACTATTTTGGTGGTATTATCTGCTGAGGCCATAGTAATGTTACTAATGTACCCTTTATCTTATTTACTGGCCTTTTTGCAACGAAAGCCATTGTAGTGGTGGTATTATTTGCTGAAGCCTTACAAACCATGTTTTAATGTGAGTCTTTTTGTCATCAATCATACTTTTACCAGGTGCTGTTGAATATCCATGTTTCAAGGGACTTTTGAAGCAACTTGTGGGCCCTCTGAGCACACAATTGTCTGACAGAAGGTCCAGCATAGTGAAGCAGGTGCAACTTCATGGCTTAGTGCTGCCCTTTTTGTTTGTCTATTTTTCTTTACCACTGGTGGTTCTCGAATTATCCAATTAGAGGCTCCTAAGGCTGGTTCATGACTGGCGGATTGCCAAGCAGACTTGCTTTGGCTTTGATCTTAAGTTGGTCACTGAGGTGGCCCTTTATCTTGAAATTAAATCTGGGTTGTGGCAAGGTGGGCTCTTTTTTATCCACAAGTGCCTGCCAACAGTGCTTTGATTCTGGCTCATTGCCGCAAAACGTGTTTATTGGAGGATAACAAAAAAACGTGGTTGGTTTATTACAATAAAAGGACAAAGGCATGGTTTTTATTGAGATCTACTACCTTGCTTGAATCCCATTCCTGTCTCTGTGTCATGTTTATAATGACCAATAACAGATTTATTTGGCATGTTTTTTGTCCGCATCTGTTGCTTGTAAAACTTCTTACTTCTTCTATACTGTGGATTAAGGAAACAGTTGCCACAAATCTCTGGTGGTTGCCAACTTGCCGGAACTTCACATGCCAAGCAAACTGTGGCTTTTCAGATTCATCAATTGTAGGGATTTAGCTAGTCTTGCCCTGAAAATATGGGTAAAACAAGAGGACCTTAATTTGCTAGATCACTAGTAAAACTTTTTTTGTAGTCAACCGTCCTAGTAAGTAATGTAAATTAATCTTTATAAAAAATGTACTGTATATTAGCCTCTATGGTTGTATTTGGTGCTTTGAAGGCTGTTTCTACTTTGCTGGATCACTAGCAAAATTGCTTCTCTAATCAAACATTGCATCAAGTAATGTATTAAGTCTTTATAAAAAAGATACTGTTTATGAGCTGCTTTTTGGTTGTGTTATGTGCTTTGAAGGCATGCCACCTGCTATGCTTTTTATCTAAGGAGCTCCTGGGAGATTTTGAAGCCTGTGCCGAGTTGTTTATTCCAGTACGCACTAAACTCTCTTTAATTTTGGTCTTTTCATTTTCACTCTCCGTTTATTAATAATGTGTTATTCCCATCAGGTTCTTTTCAAGCTAGTTGTGATCACTGTCCTTGTTATTGCAGAGTCTGCTGATAATTGTATAAAAACGGTAAATTAACTCATCACCATGTTTAGCCAAAAGAAAAAGTTCAGATATTACTTATAACTTCATAATTCTTCACACTATATGCTTTTACCTACAGATGTTGCGTAACTGCAAGGTTTCACGTGTTCTTCCTCGCTTAGCCGACTCTGCAAAGAATGACCGAAATGCAGTACTTCGTGCAAGGTGCTAAAAAACTCTTTATGTTACGTAATTTTTTCTCATTGAATAACTTACTAGCAGGCGACAATGCATATTGTTCTGTGCCGAATATAATTGTTACTTCTTTTACATTGTTTCTTTTATGTTTGTTGAATGTCAGGTGTTGCGAATATGCACTGTTGGAATTGGAACAATGGCCTGATGCGCCAGAAATACAGCGATCTGCTGATCTTTTTGAGGATCTTATAAGATGTTGTGTCGCTGATGCAATGAGTGAGGTAAAGCTGTTTGAATATCTTTATATCTTTTAGCCTTTTCATTTCAGTTAAAATGTTAATTGATTTTTGAAATTTAATAGGTTCGATCCACAGCCAGAATGTGCTACAGAATGTTTTCAAAAACTTGGCCAGAGCGCTCCCGCCGCCTGTTTTTATCTTTTGATCCTGTGATTCAGAGGGTAAATGCTTCTTATGAACAGGGATATCCTTGGCCTATTTGTATTCTTTTTCCTCCATTTAGCTTTCTTTTATCCCTCCTTCTGTGCAGATAATAAATGAAGAAGATGGTGGCTTGCACAGGCGACATGCTTCTCCTTCGATTCGTGAGAGAAGTGCACATATGCCATCCACTCATACCTCTGGTCATACAAGTCTACCTGGATATGGAACTTCTGCTATTGTTGCAATGGATAGAACGTCTAGTTTGTCCTCAGGGACTTCTCTTTCTTCAGGGCTGCTTTTGTCACATTCAAAAGCAACAGGTAAAGGTGCCGAACGTAGTCTTGAAAGTGTGTTACATTCAAGCAAAGAGAAGGTCAGTGCCATTGAAAGCATGCTTAGAGGCTTGGATATATCTGATAAGCACAATCCATTGGCTCTTCGTTCATCTAGTCTGGATTTAGGTAAAGATGGACTCGAGTTATTTCTTCCAGTCTGTTGAAGTAAATATTCTTAGTTATTGGATGGATACTCTTGATTATTCGTAAGCAGTTGAATTTATCTCGTGTTGCCCCTAGTGCAGGAGTTGACCGTCCATCTTCTCGTGATCCGCCGTCTCCACATGCAATTCCAGCCTCCAACCAGAGCTCTTTAGCCTCAGATTCGGCTGCAGCAGTTATCGGCAGGGGTAGCAACCGAAATGGTGGCTTGGGTTTATCTGATATCATTTCTCAAATTCAAGCTTCCAAAGATTCTGTCAAGTCATCCTATCGTGGTAATGCGGTAACTGAGACTTTGTCAGCATTTTCTGCCTATTCAGCAAGGAGAACTTCAGAGAAGCTGCATGAAAGGGGTTCAATTGAGGAGAAAGGTGACATTAGGGAAGCTAGGCGATTGACAAATCTGCACATCGAGAGGCAATATATGGACACACCACACAGAGATGGAAGTTTGAGGGATTTACAGAGCAGTCATGTCCCTAACTTCCAGAGGCCGCTTTCGAGAAAGGCTGTGGTGGGAAGAATGTCTGCAAGCAGGAGGAGAAGCTTTGATGATAGCCAGCTAGCGCTGACTGATTTATCAAGTTATGTGGATGGTCCAGCATCTCTCAGCGATGCTCTTAGCGAGGGTCTCAGTTCAAGTTCTGACTGGTCTGCTAGAGTTGCTGCTTTTAGTTATATAAAGTCTCTGCTGCAGCAAGGACCAAGAGGTATTCAAGAAGTTGTCCAAAACTTTGAGAAAGTCATGAAGCTATTTTTCCAGCATTTGGATGATCCGCACCATAAAGTTGCACAGGCAGCTCTTTCCACTCTTGCTGACATCATTAAATCTTGCCGCAAACCCTTTGAGGGTTACATGGAAAGGATTGTACCACATGTTTTTTCGCGTTTAATTGACCCAAAAGAGTTAGTTCGGCAGCCTTGCTCAGCAACGCTAGAAATTTTGAGTAAGTCATACAGTACAGATTCCCTTCTACCTGCTTTCCTTCGATCACTCGATGAACAACGCTCTCCCAAGGCAAAATTGGCAGTGATAGAATTTGCCATCAATTCATTTAACAAGCATGTGGCAAACTCTGAAGGTTCTGGTAATATTGGTATATTAAAACTATGGCTTGCTAAGTTGACTCCCCTAGCCCATGATAAAAATACAAAGCTCAAGGAAGCAGCTATTTCTTGCCTCATATCAATTTACTCCCACTATGATTCGACCGCATTTCTCAATTTTGTCCTAAGTTTGTCTGTTGACGAACAGAATTCCTTGAGACGAGCTCTTAAACAGTACACTCCTCGTATTGAAGTTGATCTGATGAACTTTTTGCAAAGCAAGAGAGAGCGACAGCGTTCCAAGTCTGGTTATGATCCATCTGATGTTGTGGGCTCATCATCTGAAGATGGATATATTGGTCAGCAAAGGATGGGTAATTTCTTTGGCAGGTGTTCTGCTGGTTCCCTAGACAGTAATGGGGGCAGGAAGTGGAGTTCTATGCAAGATTCGTCCCTGCCTACTGGTGGGATTGTAGCATCTAATGAAACTCATGATAGCTTGTACCGTGACTTCTCTGATTCCAAGTCTGAAGACCTGAGCTGCACAATAAATCTCACTGACAATAATATAGATTCCCAGATTGGTCGGATTGAACATGTGTCTACCGTGAATCTAGAGGGCTGGTCCAGCCCACAGGTGGACATCAATGCTATGGGCAGTTCTGACCTTGGGGCTGCTGAAAACTTCAGTCCTGATGGTGAGACTTCAGCCGAGGCTGACCTCGACAATCGCAATTTCTCCGCTTCAAAAGTTAATGCATTGCCAGACGAGCCAAGTATTCCCCAAATTCTTCACCTGGTAAGATATCTTTTAGTTTCTAGTGGCTTTTAATGATGAGATTGTTTACTTTTGGAAACAGTACAATTAGAAGTGGGAAAATCAAATTCATCAAGGGTAATGAATCTAGAATCCTTCTATTGTAGATCGGTAACAGCAATGATGATGTTTCATCTTCAAATAGAAGAACTGGACTTCAGCAACTGGTTGAAATATCTCAGGCCAGTGATATTTCTATTTGGACAAAGGTATGCAATGACAAACCTCAGTCTCCCCCATTTTCGCGAGGCTTATGCCATGAATGTTCTTCCTTGTGCAGTACCCTAACATGGCATTGTAGTTAAGTAGAAACTTGGTGCCAATTCTGCCGTGTGTGTACTATGAAGTTTATATGATACTTGTCATTTGCCAATATCTTCAGAAGCTAATTGTTCTGTTATGGCTTGTTCCTTGAAAATGGTGACAGTTCTGTATCAGGATAATCCTACTAACTGTCAGAACTATGTAAAATGATGTTAATTGAAAAAAGAACACTGGTTAAAGGTCAACTGGTTTCTTTTTTGTGGAACAAGACAATCGATGTTTTTGGGTATCTTATATGCTTATTCCATTCGTTGTATATGTCAACCCGTCAAAGTATATCCGTTTTTCTCTCCTTGATAAAGTGGAATCTGCCATTTTCCGGAAGCTATTAAGTCATATTATTCTCTCATGGTTGAAATTTTTTCCATCAGGGAGGAGGACCTCATTTGAGAAAGTGTGGTTGGATTAATGTTGCAGCATGTTATTCTGTATGATGACTTATGGTAACGTGGCTTTTATGCAGTATTTCAATCAAATTTTGACAATTGTACTTGAGGTGCTGGATGATTCTGACTCCCTCATCCGTGAACTCGGTCTTTTGTCGATTGCTGAAATACTCCAGAATCAGGTGCGTTGTGTATCATTTTGCTTTTAAAATAGTACCGTGTCTTTAAATTTGTGTTGAAACTTTTCTTTACACAGATGCTTGCATGTGTTTTTCTCATAATTTTTGTCTGGGTAAATTCTACATTTCTCTTATGGTTCCAGAAAGATATGATAGAAGAGTCTATTGAGATTGTAATTGAAAAGCTGCTTCACGCTAATAAGGATGACGTTGCCAAGGTAATTTTTTTACTAGTCTTTCCGACCCTATATCATTAGCTTCCCTTGTATCCACCTTTTATATTTTATTTTTCTGCCTTTAGGTTTCAAATGAAGCTGAGCATTGCTTATCTATTGTATTGTCCAAGTATGATCCTTTCAGATGTCTAAGTGTACGTGCTCTCTCTCTCTCTCTCTGGAATTCTGGTACTCTTTTCTTTTAGAAAAGTGGAGGTTGCTAGTAGACTAATTTTTGAATTTGTTGGTGATGTGATTGTTTGATGAGCAGGTTATTGTTCCATTATTGGTTACTGAAGATGAGAAAATGCTTGTTACTTGCATAAATTGTTTGACGAAGGTACCTTGCTTTCTACTCTCAATCCAACCTTATATAGTACCTCCTCCCGTAAACAAAGCCTCCAACACCACACCCCCCAAACCAACCTCCCAAGGAAAAGTGGACAAAAGAAACAAAGAACATACAAAAAATTATTTGCTTATTGGACTTGATAATGTTGACGCATGCTTGTTTAGCTGTGTCAGTTGGGCTTATGTTGGCTCCCTCTGTTGTAGCAACTCTTTGCAAAGTACATGTTCTTTTGGATGGTTACTTATGAAACAAACTTATCAATCATAGACATAATTAGGATTTAGGAGCAGTTATGATGTCCAGACTGCTGGAACAGGTTCTTTCTTTGACTTTTTTGACCATCAGGGACTTTCTTTGGCAATTTTGATCATCTATATTCTTTTCGAAGCATATTCACGTAAAAAATTGTATGTGCTTCATCTTCAAAGTTGTCACTGGTTACTATTGCTTCAGTTCGGCTTAAGAGCAATTTAGTCATGTCCACCACCATGATGTAATCTACACTGAGTGCCTTCTAAAGCCGTTTACATAGTTTTTCACCCTTGGATGATCTTAGGCTGTACATTATCAAGATCCTTTAGTCCAGCCTAAAGGTCATCTTCTGTTTGTAAACCAGCCCTCTCCTTTCAATTTGAAGACATTTAACTTCCAACGCTCCTTATTTTTATCTAAAACAAAACTTCCTCTCCTATCTCCAGCTTGTGGGACGGCTATCACAAGAGGAGCTGATGGCTCAGTTGCCGTCATTTTTACCTGCTCTTTTTGAAGCATTCGGGAACCAGAGTGCTGACGTTCGCAAGGTAGCATTCTTAATGTTTTTATGACTGTATCTCTTAATACTTGGACTGTGGCTATTAAGCTCAGTGGAAAGGAAAAATTAAGTATGGGCTACAGAGTGTCTCATGATTGTTCTGCAAATATATGGATTGGGAAGGATGAAAATAATCCGCAAATATATATGCTTTGATTTTGGGCAATTGAGTCTTGGTCTGACTTTTATCTCTTTGGGATTGTATTCGAGTCTGTGATAGATATAATCTCTGTGATCTGTAGCAGGAGTGAAGATCCTACTTCAAGCTTTTGTACTATAATATGCACTTCCACATGTTTGCCTTCCTGCAAGTTTTTGCTGCATCGTTCCTTACCAATCTTGATGAATGTCATAGTTCTTTTCGATTATTTCTCTCTTTTGCTTGATGTGGAAGGACACATAAATAGAATAAATATGGTGTTAAGTCAATCTTAGATACTATATATCTGTTTGATCATCACGACATCTCTAAGGTAGATGTCTTTTTTGGCTCATTCTCATGCATTTTTTCATATCGTTGAGGTTGAGTAGATCACAACCTTCTACCGTTGCACTGTGTTTTACAATCTCAGCTCGGTTTTGTTTTTCTATTGGTGCAGACTGTAGTTTTCTGTCTGGTCGATATATATATCATGCTTGGGAAGGCATTCTTGCCATACTTGGAAGGCCTTAACAGTACACAATTGCGCTTGGTGACCATCTATGCTAATCGTATATCGCAAGCCAGGACAGGAACTGCCATAGACACTAATCATGTTTAGCTCTTCTTTTCTTTTTTTCTTTTTTGGGTGGGAAAGACAATGACCATGAGGTTCTATGGTTCATTGTTGTGTATTTTGTAAATTTGTGTGAAATGGGTTGTTGGTATATATATATTTTCGTACATATTGCTTTTACTTTTAATTTGTTTGGTTTTTTGTGAGTGATTGATTATGGTGGGAGAGATTGTAATTTTTATTTGGAGAGCAACACTTGAAACATGAAAAATAAATGTGATTTTGGAGGAAATTGTTTCTACAACTATCTCCTGTCATGGATCTTTGTTTCTTGTGGGCTTTTCCATGTAGCTCTCTGAGTTTAAGTTGTGTATTTGGATGTTGGCGTTTGAACATAGGAATGGATAGTTTTTCTCTGATGTAGTTGTTCATTAAAATCGGAGAGGAAATGCGCTTTTAGTTTCTATCTTGTTGCGATTTTCTGTCATTTTGAAAACCGAGTCTGCAAAAAAAGTCACGTACAACAGACTGTTCAATCAAGCTGCTTTGAGATATCAAAGCCATTGTCACTGCTTTTTGTGCGTGGCGATGTTAACCCCGGAAGCTTAAGTTTACCATGGGCTGCATAAAATTCCCGAACACCCTGTCCATGTCTAGTTTACCCCCAAACCGTTCAACTTAGCTGCTTTGAGAACTATGAGGCCATCGTCACAGGTTATATGCGTGGCCCTTCTCTCTGGTTTCTTCATTCTTTAATGCAGACCGTCGCTGCAAATGCTATGCTAATGGTAAAGCTTTATGTTAGTCGCGTAAACATCCCATCCTATGCTCCAACATAAAATCATCCTTGAAGACTTTCTATGTTGGCGATTTGAGTTCCCCGATCGACCAACGTCCAAGGGTTGTGGACACTGAAAAAGTCTGCAGCCTATGGTTAACAATGACCAGTGTTTAAACGTTCTTTTGTTTCCCATGTATGGCTTTGTCTGAGATATGGCTAAACTTCGGTTTGCGTCCTATAATCGGACAGTTCACCCATCAATCCATTGCTTACGACGGGGAAAGCCGGAGGGACGTTCGCAAATGGCAGTTGAGGCTATTTGCGACCTTTATAACGTTAGGTGCCCGGTCCTCTTAGTACCTAAAATAAAATCCCATTGACCCAGTTCTTTTTTCCTTAAACTATGTTCTAACCTTGGCTTACAATGTTTCCATCTTGAATATTTCTTCTTCCCGTTTGAACCGTAGTTGGATTCTGATCAAATATAGCCTGGAGAAGAGTCAATTCATTCGAAGCTGCTTAAACAAAGCGTGAACGTACAATCCACAGAAGGCTTCCCGTCTCGTCTATCCTTCTCTGCCCTCAGCCTGTCTTCGAGCTCTATCCCGATCGAATCACTATTGAGAGCATTGACCCAGAAAGGACGAAATCCTGTGGTGTTCTAGGAGCGGCAAATCAAACAAGAACTTGAAGAGCTTGCCTCTCCATTTTTTCCTGGACTATAACTGCGAGTAGGACCAACAGCGAATTTATTGAGCACATATGCCCCTTAACTAGAATCTAAGGCCAGGTGGTTCCTCCCTGCATTCTGGTAGTCGAGAAGCCCCTCTTGTTTAGGTTGTTCTTATTGCTTTGGTTTGTCTTACCGCAACAGGAGTCATGAAATGAATATCAGATTCATGTAATGGTAGAAAGGTTTCTCATTACTTAGCCGGAAAAATATGTGGCATATAATAGGGATGGGTACTAGAGTCGTGGAAACACCTCTTTCTTCCATATTTTGGACCTTAGCTGATCAATATGGCCTGGAAAAGAGTAAATTCCTCCAAAATTTTATGACATCGGCTCATGCCATTTGTTAGCGTCTAAAGTACATAATACAACATTTCCACTAAAAACCGAGGATAAGGTCACGGATGAATAAAATTTAATTTTAGTAGAGGAATGGTATATCATCATCTGGTAAAAATAGAATGTCAAACTCTTATTAACCTTATTAACAAAACGAACTACTTGTTACACTCCGCAATGCCCTTTTAACTCTCTCTTTTCTTTTCGTTGCTTTGTACCTATGTGCTTGCACTTACATCGCTCCTGTTCCAAGTCAACTCATTGATACCAATTATGCATGAAGTATCCGACCATCAGATCTATCTCCCTGTATTATAAAATAAACCTAATTTGTCTTTAACTTTGAACTTTTGCTAATAATGTCGATAAAGTCTATGCTAAAGGGCACACCACCAAACAAATGATAATTTAAAACGGCGAACAAAGCTCTCATCTTATTCCCTAAATTTCTCACAAATTGGGTAAATTAGATATCTCTCATGCTGTCATTGTTCGAACTAATTTCCCAACACAATCTAGACCACATTTTCTATAATCATCAGATTTCTTGCCATTTTTTGCTAGTTAATGCTGAGGCAAACATGCGAGTTTAAGCAAATAAACCCATATGAGAACTAAAAAGACACTATATCCAAGTGCTAGTAGCTCGATGGAGTAAAAGCATTGATCCTTTCAGCAAATAATGCTGCCAAAGAAAAAGAAAGTGAACCGAAAAGAAGAATGAATGACCCATATTGGAATATCACAAGTGATAAAAAGGGTCGGTAAATTGTACACTAAGGCGCGCTCCAAGTTGAGTTCATGTGACCTGTATTCGTTGTTCAGAAGAAATTACAAAAGGAAAAAAACAAAAAAAACTCTAATCCTCTTGCCTAAGCTCTAGGATGGAAAATGTTCCTGTCGGTTCACCCACAGTAACGTGGTGTTTTGGTGTTTCCAAGGGGTTTCGGATTTCAGACACTCGACTATGATACTTCTAAGGAATGTTCTGAGTCTTGACTATATTTTATGTTACTGCAAAAAAGGTCAAATAAACACCTTTCAGGAATATAATCCTGTGTGTTTATTTTAAATACCACCACCCTCCACAAATTTAGCAACTACTGAGCAGTGTTTCTTGAAGTTCATAATCCAACCGATTGATTCGTTCTTGTTTTTTCAAGTATCACTTGTGAACTGTCAATGAGCAACAGTCTCCAGTTTGAAGTTTGTGACAGGTCTGAAAGATTTTAGGAAGAAAACAATAGGGAAAAAAGATCTACGGAACACAACATGCACAGTCCTGATTTAAACATCAGAAACATGAATCGGCCAAAGTAAAAGCACGATCCACACTGCAAGAAGTCCCACTTAATGATTTCTTTACAACACACAATCCATTAGGCAGATCGCTTACCACAACCGATATGTCTTGGCTCATCTTATGCGCGTGTATTGGTTGCAAGATTTGCTTTAGCGTTGGAAGTTAGCTCACTGGATAGAATCAGATGGGTTCGTGAAGCTCTTTTTGATCATTCAGACTAAAAATTATCTGAGAACCTGAGTGAATTTCAACATGTAGAAAGAGTAGGTTCAAGTTTTGATACCATCTGATGGTCTAGCATAGATAGATATTATCTGATTATTTTCAAGTAGAATACACCAAGCAGCCGAGATTTATGAACCGATCATAAAGGCTTGAAGAAAGCATGTGAAGAAAATGGTCAGTCATAATCTTTCAAATGTCTACACATTAATCTGGCTACAGTATAAGATAGACCGCTTGGGTTAGTAACTCCGTACGCAGGGAATAGAATTTGCCTCATCTGACAAGCTATAGATGTGCACTAACTAGTACTTAAGCTGTTGAATATATGTCAAAACAATCAAAAATCTGCAAGAATGACTGTCCTAAGATAGTATCTTTGGTGTAAGTGTTAATGACTGTCCTAAGATAGTATCTTTGGTGTAAGTGTTCTATGACTGAAGTTAAACAAAAAGGACCCTTTTCGGGGAATTACCAAGAAAGGCACCTGAATCATCAATATATTGAAGTCATGAAAATCAACTAAACATGTTACTCTTAATATGCCTTATCATACTTTCCTTAGGTGCATCAACTTCTAATTATCCTCAGATTGTATAACCTGAAGTGTATGCAGTGAAAGTTAAATTTTCCCACAAAAAAAAGGTTGAAATTTGCCGCAGTGCATACATCAAGCAAAAAAATCCGGGAAACTGTTAAGTACTTAAAAACCCCGAACTTGCGAGGAAATCTCGGCTATTTACTTTGAATTGAGAAAATCTGGCTTCCGGATTTGGTCATTATAGCCAAAACCACTTGACCTTTTGTCTGCATAAATAGCTATCCCGGATTCTCCTTCTCTAGAAAGAATCGGTCTTTTACCGCCAAAGTCAGCAGTTTCCAGAAAATGCCAAGTCGGTTGGCCTATATAATGCCATACCGAGCACCTATACTGGCATCCACTCGAAATTTGAACAGTTTGACAGTAAGTAATCGTTATGCGTCAAGCGCATCTTTAGGAACAGTCACATGGTGCTTTCAATAGACTCTGTACATGTTCCTTTTTCCTCTTCTTTTCCTCCTTTTTGACGCATCTCCTGACAAATTATTCTGTGAGCTAGAAATGCTCGACCTTTGATCTACTGAACTCATGCTAGGTGTTTGAGAGGATAATGAATTGTTTCTATTATGTTTTTCAATGAATGAATTACAATATATATGCTTAACATAACGTAAAATCCTCTAAACACAATATTACAATTCTACCCTCCTTATCATATTTCTAACACTCCCTCTCAAGTTGAGGCGTAGATATCAAATAGTCCCAACTTGTTATATAGGAAGCTCACTCTATTCCCCTGTAGAGATTTAGTAAAAATATCCGTTGTTGATCCTCTGTCCTTGCATGTTGAAGAGTGATTTCCCCTTTCTGGATCTTTTCTCGTATAAAGTGACAGTCAACCTCAATGTGTTTGGTTCACTCATGAAAAATAGGATTGTTCGCAATATGGATAGCTGATTGATTATCACAATATAATGTTGATGGATCTGATGTTGACACACCAATTTCTGACAATAACATCCTTAACCAGAGCAATTCACCTATCACATGTGCCATAGCTCTATATTCTGCTTCAGTACTTGATCGAGAAACCACATGTTATTTCTTACTTTTCCAGGCAACTAAATTGCCTCCAAGAAATACGCAATACCCGGATGTAGATCTTCTATCAGTAGGGCATCCAGCCCAGTCTGCATCAGAGTATCTTGTAGTGTTCAGATGACCATGACTCTTAAAAAGTAATCATTTACCTGGTGTTCCCTTCAAGTACTTAATAATTTGCAGTACAGCATCCCAGCGAGTAATGCGAGGAGAACTCATAAACTGACTCACTACACTGATGGCAAAGGATATATCAGGTCTTGTGACATTGAG